TACTTTTATTTACTTCATGTAAGGCTATTAAGCCAGCTCCCAACTTACATTAAATAAAGTAAACCTTATCTTGCCCCTCGGGACATAACTTAATGGTGCAAAGAATAGAAGTGGGGTTATCTTACTCCTTACTGGCAATTGCAGTGTGGAGGTTCGATTCCTGAAACATGGAATTGGATTCCTTGTAGGCGCAGTGTATAGACAACTCTTGTTTTTTGGCCTGTTGGGACACATCTCACGATTTAACTTCCTCACAAAGCTGTAAGGGCGGGGCGGTGGAAGTTCTTAAGGTTGGGATTCAAAAAAAAAAAAAAATAAATAAAAATATATATATATATATATATTTTTTTTTTAATATTAAGTAAAACTTATCTCATCTTTTGTACTTTATAGTACTTTAGTGTTAACATGGGATGGTGTGGACTTTTATATATTAGGCTTAGGACGAACCTTGGCTTTTCGAGGTGCGGCAGATGGTATGGACTGGATAGTTCGTAATAAGCCAATAAATTCAAGAAAATGTATACAGAAATAACATTAAATGGGTATGGCAAAAGGGGGACTTCTTTTAGTAGATTTTCACTTTATTATATCAATATTTGTTAACTTTGCTTAAGCTTATATTATTCAGTATGGCCCACCCTTGGTCAATCACAATTTGATATTTTCTGTGGTAAATTTTCCCATGTAGACATAAAAGTATTGATCGATAATTTCTAATTTCGATGAGATTGTGCTAGGTTAATCTTAACATAACATTACTATTCTCCTAGGAGTGTCAAGTTATTCGACCTTTCTTCTCTTAAAATCCTAGGTTGAACAGAAAATTTCGGAAGTAATCAAAATCAAATTAGCATTCATACGAATTTCACAAAAAACAATCACAAGAAGTTGCTTAGTCCAACTCGTTATTGCTTGATTAAACCATATCCTATTGATACCTTGACAATGTCCCTTCTCGACCTCTCTTGACAATTATTGACTCAATATCTATTTCATTCTTGAGTTGATTTTATTACTATAGACAACCATATATAGAGTAGTAATTTATTATTACAAAGTTTTACATGAACTATCTTATTCCATTCCAATTAACATATTTCATTTTTTTTAATATATAGGTAGCTACAGAGGTTGGACATGACCAAACTAGCATATACCCCTTTCACATATCTGACACCTCTCTAACATTACCTTGTAATAGTTTTCGCCCTTGTTTGCCTCTTGTTTATAATTTGCTTATATTCAGTCTAATTACTTTTTATTAACATATTACTCATTTCATCACGTTTATATAGGCGGATTAAGAAATTCTATTAATGTTATTGAAAGAGCAAGTAAACTATTGTTGTAAATAGTAAAGAAATTGAATGATTTAATTTTCAACAAGTAGGTATGATGTATCTTTACATTTATACAATTTCAAGATTAAGTAGAAAAAATTGATTATAATTAGGTAAATTAAACAATGGTATATTAATAAATGAACAAAACAAAACATTCATGAAATAAGACTATATAATTGAGACAAAAAATAAAATAAAATAAGGAAAGTCTATTTATATAAATGTGACGAATGGAGTATGTAAAAGCTCCAAATATTATTAATCTATGGGATATTTTCAAAAATGTCTGATTTCATGGGTGTCAATTAAAAAATGTTTACTTTTTAAATTTAGCACTAAACTGTCTATTATACCTTAATATAAAAAAGAAGCAATTTAGTTATTTTTTCAAATTGTTGCGGTTATTGAGAAGTAGCTTCCATGAGAAGCTACATTAAAATGATGTTATCGACATGCAAGTGTCATTCTCGATATTTGATTCCCGTTTATAGTTTAAAAGTTCACATGTCAAATCATAATTTCAAACGTTGTTGACATTTCAAACGTTGTTCTCGACATTTGAAATATCTAGAATGACATTTCATTCCGAACATGATATTTCTCTACACTTGAAATGTAATTCTCGATATTTCTGTGTCTATGAGAAAAATAACATTAATTGTGATTTAACATGTGCACCTTTGAAATAATTATGGCAGGTTATGGGTCAAAAATTTATTGGTCAATAAAATTTTAGCAAAAATGTCAATTTTTTGTCCTTGTGTGGAATCATAAATTATTCACAGGGGTATTTCGGTCCAAAAGATTCCAAAATTGACATTTTTGCAAAAATTTGTGAAAATGGACATTTTTTGTAAATGGACATGTGAAAGTGGACATTTCAAGTAATTTCCTTTTAATCTATTTACACTCATTTTTAAATGTCGGTAAACTGTTTAATTATAAATAAATAGAAATCATTATAAACCAATCCCAATGATGATATCTTCAATTTTTTTTTTAAGTAAAATTTCCAACCTTGATTGAATCATTACATGACATTCCCTCTCAATTCTAAGCTTGCACAGTTCCCCATTCCCCAAATCACCGACAAATTGGAAAGCTATATAAATCCAAAGAAAAATATCAATAAATTCCTTTCCTTCAGATCCAATCTTCTAATTCTCACGTACCCAGAAATCCAGTTCAAAATTCACACACAGTGAAATCACAAATTGAAGTCTGAGTAAATTAGCCGTAACAATCTTGTTCTTGATCAAGAACAATGAAGGAAGTGAAGAACAGGTGTCTTACATGTTCAGTATTTTTTGTCCTGTTCTTCTTATTCAGTTTATTCTTTTTCCAAACTATTGACTACAAATCGAGGCTCCTTTTATTCTTCCCCCGTCGGTTCAGCAACAGCACGCTCTGCCACGGCCGATTAAGGCAGCTGAAAATATACATGTACGACCTTCCGCGGCAGTTCAATGTCGGAATGCTCGATCCGAAGCTGCCAGTGACGGCGGAGAGTAATTTGGCATGGATGGGGAGTGGTGGACTCCGGCGGCAGCACAGTGTGGAGTATTGGATGATGGCTTCCTTGTTGTACGAGGGTAATGGTGAAAATGGGTCGACCCGGGAGGCTGTTCGGGTCATGGATCCGGATGATGCTGACTTGTTCTTTGTGCCTTTTTTCTCTTCGCTCAGTTTTAATATTCATGGCCTCAATATGAGTGATCCAAATACTGTTGATCAGAAGTTGCAGGTACACATAGTTTAATTTAAATTTCTTCTTATTATTGGATAATCTGTTTGTTTGTTGTATACATAATTCAAATTAAGATTACTCTTGTGCATTTCTTGAATTAACCATAGAGAATGCTTCGTCATTGGATAACTGAATGTGAAATTGAGTCTCTTTGTGATGGGTTTTGCATTGCTCATGAATTTGCTTCACTGTACTTGTTCTTGAAATCCTGCAAATTTGAATATTTAAAGAACACTGACCATCCGAAATTAATTTTTGAATTTTCTTGTTTCAGATAGAATCCCTTTCAGATTGTCCATATATTCACTAGTAAGCTTAAGTATTGGGCTTGTTATTAGTTAATAAGATGTAACTAGGATGTACTTTTTCTGTATGACTTGTGACTACTTCACGCTAATTTTACAATTGGGGGTGATGCTTTACTGATGTCCTTTCAATTCCTTAATTCATCTTTTCGCTTGTTTACAGTTCAAAACTTAACAAATTTTGCCTTCTGATGGTTAAATCAAAGAGGTGGTAAATGCTACCATGTTATTTATTTTACTTTATTCTGTTTATTTCTTGGATAAGTTTTTAGCACTTTTGGCATATTTTGTCAGGAGTATGGATATGGGAAAATATAGTTCATTTTATTGCCCACTCTTGTTGAGTAACATATGCCCAACATTCACCTTTGTAATCTCCTTGATTACATTATAGCACAAAAACTTCACCCGCAAATAGATTTGGCTCTCACATTGAGGCTGAACCACAATAAACCTATATATTTGCTGTGGGTATTTCTGATTTCATTATGTTTATTGTTGCTCTAGGAGTTAGTGATTTAGGTTTAAATCATTACAAAGTTTTAATTGTTTGCTTACGATGGAACCAATTTATTGCTCTGAATGATGGATGGATGGAATGAACAAATACTAATGTATTTATGGATTCCACCAAAAGTCTTTTTCTCATTCTAAAGAGTTGATCATCAATGCTTCTTATTGCAGCGTGATATGGTCAAAATCTTAAGATCGTCCAATCAGTGGATAAAATCTGGCGGACGAGACCATATAGTCCCCTTGCATCATCCAAATGCTTTCAGACATTATCGTGATAAGGTGAATTCTTCCATATTCATTGTTGCTGATTTCGGTCGCACAATGAACATAGCTAAACTTGCAAAAGATGTCGTCGCCCCTTATGCACACATGGTGGAATCATATTTCAATGATGATGAAGAGGACCCGTACGATACTCGTAAGACACTTCTCTTCTTCCGTGGGAGGACTAAAAGGAAAGAGGTACGCCAATCTAACAGAAAGGATCATATCAGTACTTTTACTTCATGTAATAAAGTATTTTTCTGACATGTTGATGTTTGCAGGAGGGAAAGGTTCGTATGAAACTGCACAAGATGTTAGTTGGAACACCGGATGTCATATACGAGGAGGGCGATGCATCAGAAGAAGGTTTTAAAACTGTAAGTTTCTAGTGATTATCTCTGTTCTGCAAATATAAAATGGATTTTAGGCTGCATTATTTTATTTCAATAATGATATCTACTACGCCATTGCACAGTCTAATCCATATATTCTTCTCAATGCACTAGTGATTTTCACTTTTTATTTGCAGTCTCTGTCACTAACCTCTGCTTTTGCTTTTCTTCACCTTTATTCTCTATATGCTTGCATTTAACATCTGCATTCACTTGGCTTTTTAACTCAGTACTGATATTGTGACGTTGTGAACAAACATTGTGTTTATTTTCAAGAATCTCCTATAATTGTTAAATCAGATTTGCGGATTTGTCTCATACATCTTGCATTTCTTGCTCAAATTAGTCCACTGAAGGAATGCGTTCGTCTAAGTTCTGTCTGCATCCTGCTGGGGATACTCCATCATCTTGTCGTCTGTTTGATGCTATAGTGAGCCACTGCATTCCTGTTATTGTGAGTGACAGAATCGAGCTACCCTTTGAAAATGAACTCGACTACAAGGAGTTCTCAATCTTCTTTTCAGTTAACGAGGCATTGACACCATCCTATATGCTCACTCGGCTCAGGGGGATTACCGAACATGAATGGATGAAAATGTGGAGACAGCTTAAAAGCATTTCTCATCACTTCGAGTTCCAATACCCTCCGAAGAAGGACGATGCAGTCAATATGATTTGGAGACAGTTACGGCACAAACTTCCTGCAATCAAGCTTTCTGTACACAGAAATAGGAGGCTCAAAATACCAGATTGGTGGTGATATTTGTTTAAAAACCTGCATTTGCCACTTGAATATTCATAGTTAAATTTTTGCAAATGCAAGTACATAGATAGCATTCTAGGTACACGGCAGGACACTACTAGACATTATGATAAATAAAATTTTTGCTACTTGCTCTTTACTTCTTTTTAATATTGTCGAGTACAGCCTATCAAATATGCCAAGATAGTTGAAACTAAAAACATGAAAGAATTTGACCCGGGAGGCTGTTCGGGTCATGGATCCGGATGATGCTGACTTGTTCTTTGTGCCTTTTTTCTCTTCGCTCAGTTTTAATATTCATGGCCTCAATATGAGTGATCCAAATACTGTTGATCAGAAGTTGCAGGTACACATAGTTTAATTTAAATTTCTTCTTATTATTGGATAATCTGTTTGTTTGTTGTATACATAATTCAAATTAAGATTACTCTTGTGCATTTCTTGAATTAACCATAGAGAATGCTTCGTCATTGGATAACTGAATGTGAAATTGAGTCTCTTTGTGATGGGTTTTGCATTGCTCATGAATTTGCTTCACTGTACTTGTTCTTGAAATCCTGCAAATTTGAATATTTAAAGAACACTGACCATCCGAAATTAATTTTTGAATTTTCTTGTTTCAGATAGAATCCCTTTCAGATTGTCCATATATTCACTAGTAAGCTTAAGTATTGGGCTTGTTATTAGTTAATAAGATGTAACTAGGATGTACTTTTTCTGTATGACTTGTGACTACTTCACGCTAATTTTACAATTGGGGGTGATGCTTTACTGATGTCCTTTCAACTCCTTAATTCATCTTTTCGCTTGTTTACAGCTCAAAACTTAACAAATTTTGCCTTCTGATGGTTAAATCAAAGAGGTGGTAAATGCTACCATGTTATTTATTTTACTTTATTCTGTTTATTTCTTGGATAAGTTTTTAGCACTTTTGGCATATTTTGTCAGGAGTATGGATATGGGAAAATATAGTTCATTTTATTGCCCACTCTTGTTGAGTAACATATGCCCAACATTCACCTTTGTAATCTCCTTGATTACATTATAGCACAAAAACTTCACCCGCAAATAGATTTGGCTCTCACATTGAGGCTGAACCACAATAAACCTATATATTTGCTGTGGGTATTTCTGATTTCATTATGTTTATTGTTGCTCTAGGAGTTAGTGATTTAGGTTTAAATCATTACAAAGTTTTAATTGTTTGCTTACGATGGAACCAATTTATTGCTCTGAATGATGGATGGATGGAATGAACAAATACTAATGTATTTATGGATTCCACCAAAAGTCTTTTTCTCATTCTAAAGAGTTGATCATCAATGCTTCTTATTGCAGCGTGATATGGTCAAAATCTTAAGATCGTCCAATCAGTGGATAAAATCTGGCGGACGAGACCATATAATCCCCTTGCATCATCCAAATGCTTTCAGACATTATCGTGATAAGGTGAATTCTTCCATATTCATCATTGCTGATTTCGGTCGCACAATGAACATAGCTAAACTTGCAAAAGATGTCGTCGCCCCTTATGCACACATGGTGGAATCATATTTCAATGATGATGAAGAGGACCCGTACGATACTCGTAAGACACTTCTCTTCTTCCGTGGGAGGACTAAAAGGAAAGAGGTACGCCAATCTAACAGAAAGGATCATATCAGTACTTTTACTTCATGTAATAAAGTATTTTTCTGACATGTTGATGTTTGCAGGAGGGAAAGGTTCGTATGAAACTGCACAAGATGTTAGTTGGAACACCGGATGTCATATACGAGGAGGGCGATGCATCAGAAGAAGGTTTTAAAACTGTAAGTTTCTAGTGATTATCTCTGTTCTGCAAATATAAAATGGATTTTAGGCTGCATTATTTTATTTCAATAATGATATCTACTACGCCATTGCACTGTCTAATCCATATATTCTTCTCAATGCACTAGTGATTTTCACTTTTTATTTGCAGTCTCTGTCACTAACCTCTGCTTTTGCTTTTCTTCACCTTTATTCTCTATATGCTTGCATTTAACATCTGCATTCACTTGGCTTTTTAACTCAGTACTGATATTGTGACGTTGTGAACAAACATTGTGTTTATTTTCAAGAATCTCCTATAATTGTTAAATCAGATTTGCGGATTTGTCTCATACATCTTGCATTTCTTGCTCAAATTAGTCCACTGAAGGAATGCGTTCGTCTAAGTTCTGTCTGCATCCTGCTGGGGATACTCCATCATCTTGTCGTCTGTTTGATGCTATAGTGAGCCACTGCATTCCTGTTATTGTGAGTGACAGAATCGAGCTACCCTTTGAAAATGAACTCGACTACAAGGAGTTCTCAATCTTCTTTTCAGTTAACGAGGCATTGACACCATCCTATATGCTCACTCGGCTCAGGGGGATTACCGAACATGAATGGATGAAAATGTGGAGACAGCTTAAAAGCATTTCTCATCACTTCGAGTTCCAATACCCTCCGAAGAAGGACGATGCAGTCAATATGATTTGGAGACAGTTACGGCACAAACTTCCTGCAATCAAGCTTTCTGTACACAGAAATAGGAGGCTCAAAATACCAGATTGGTGGTGATATTTGTTTAAAAACCTGCATTTGCCACTTGAATATTCATAGTTAAATTTTTGCAAATGCAAGTACATAGATAGCATTCTAGGTACACGGCAGGACACTACTAGACATTATGATAAATAAAATTTTTGCTACTTGCTCTTTACTTCTTTTTAATATTGTCGAGTACAGCCTATCAAATATGCCAAGATAGTTGAAACTAAAAACATGAAAGAATTTGTAGTAGTTACACCATGAATACTATGTTCTGTAAAATTCTCCTCGTAGGTTTTATTTTTAAATAAAATGTTTCATTGTGTTTTAAAATTTAAACAGAACTGTTAGTCAATCAAATTGATATACTGCAAATACAAAAGGATTTCATCTTCATTTATTTCCTAGGGGAACTCAATGCTTAAATATTTCAGGATTGTGATGAATTTTCCTGCTGATAATATTGTAAACATTGGAGATTGGATTTTGGAGTCTACCGATGATAGGCTAGTGTGAACCAATGTAATGAAAATCGATACATACATCCCTTGGAAAAGAAGAAGAATTTTGTGTGAAATTGTCGAATCGAGATTAAATTGGTGATAAAGAATTATTAAAAAATAAAAAAGGAAAGGGAGAATTTTAAGGTGGACAGCATTCTTAGGCTCTCTCCAACCCGCACCAAAATTTGAGGTAAGTTTTATATCATTTTTTACCAAATCTTGCACAACACCAAAAATCATCTCTAGCCATTACACAAAAACTTATACCAAATATATTGTGTTTAATCATTTTCTTCTCTTTTTTTGTTTTTAATAATTTATTTATTTGAAAAATTATTTCTTTATTTATTTTACAAATGCATAAATTATTAAATAAATAATTACATTAACTTAACGAAATTATTAAATTCATTATAAATATAAAAAAATATAGTAAATTAATAGAAACACTATAAAATAAATTTTAATTTTTTTCGTATCTTATTTTAATTATTTGATTACTTATTATCTTTTACATTATTAAAATTTATTTTATATGCATATTATTATTATTATTATTATTATTATTATTATTATTATTATTATTATTATTATAAAAATAATAATTTTTTGTATTAAAAAATATATAACAAAAATGACACACATACCCCATCAAATTGTTTGAAAAAAAAAAAAAAGAAAAGGTAAAATTGACTTTGCACTATTTGGTGTAAAATGATGCAAAATTTGGTATCACATTGGAGAGCTTTTGCACCAAAATCTGGTGCATTTTGGTGTTTTGGTGTCTCCTTTGGAGATGCCCTTATTGTGAAGTTGTTTTTCTGCGAACTTGGTTTAAATGACTTCTCTTTCCTCATGTTTTGTTCTCGATTTTCTCATTCAACTACTTGGTTCGATCAAGTTTTCGAAAAGTGGAGTCAGGTTCTCATGCACTAAACTGGGGCAAATAATTACGAAATATAAATAAAAACATCAAATTGGTACAGTTTTTGTGTTTAATGTAAAAGAATGGATAGTACCCTAGACAATATTTCCACCTTTTTCTTTCTTAATAGTATTCAAGATTACAAGGTCCATTTTACCAAACAAGCTATAAAATTGCTTGAAATTTCAAATTGAGCAAAATTAGAATAGACTATACTGTGTGATATTCTTTTCCTTTTTTCCCGAACAAACATGCATAACATTATGGGTTGTTGGAGAAATTAGTGCATGAATTATATTATATTAACAAAACCATACGTGCATGCAAATACGAATAGAGTAACGACTTATCAAAATCATGGTATGTACATGATAATGAGCAAATCATGACATACTCAAACATTAAAAATGCAAAAATACAAAGGAGATGAAATGAAGTGAGGTATGCAAATGCAAATCTCCTTAAGACGGAATTTGGTCCCTGCACTGGTGCTAATAGAATCATATATATGTGTATCTTCCAAGATACAACTCTTCTTCCAAAGTTAATATATTACAATATTAATTTTGTTGGGCAAACCAATGCTTGGTTGTAAACAATATTATATATCGAACACAAAACTTAAAACTAATATAGAAATTATTTTGATAGATTTGGAGAAAGAAATAATTAGAAATCAATTATATGGAATTGACTGGAGAGAAGAAAATGGAATTAGGAGGTATATATTTATAGATTTGTATGTGTTTCTTCGAAGGGTCACGTATTATGGCCAAATTAATTCCAATTATAAGATCACTCCATTTCATATTTAATGGTGTAGATCACTCCATTTCATATTTAATGGTGTAGACTGCACCTTATCGAAATGTCACACCCATTTTCAAACAACATAACTCTTTGATATGTACCATTTGCAATTCAAGAGTCACAACTAGTCATCGCACCAATTTGAGACTTGTCCAATTCATATCTACAAATATTCAAAAATTTCCAACAATCCCTCACATTATTGGAAGAAGTTGACTCAGGACAAAAAAGACAAAGAAGAGTACAACTGAAATATAATGCATCAGGATGGATAACTTTCGCTTTGAACCTTCCCTAGTAAGAATGATTCACTTGGCAATGCAATATTTTGAATTATTGGTCGTTATTGTAAGCCTGGACAATAGATTGAACACATTATTTCTCATATCAAAATCTGGTTTTCTATTGTGTTCATTATTTCGGCCCGAACCGTCATGGCTCTACAAGTGCGATAGAGAATTCTCCTAAATAAAATTTTCATAGAACTAGCCAAGTTCGCACTCATATAGATGATGTTCTATAAAGAGTACCATATAATACCCCACTTACATTATTTACAAGATATAGTCATCCTTAAAAGCGTAATATATCCTAATAGATCTTCAAACGATATAACATGCACAAGCGTCACCAATTAGAAAATCCTTCCAAAGCTTGACGTGTCATGCTTCCTTTTAACCTTATTGAAAGTTTTGATTTCTTTTGTATCTCGAGTTATATTGAGGATTTTCATGAAACAACTAAACTCTCAATAGTAAAATAGTTTTTACTAATATGATTTGAATTTTTGCATTGGATATCCAATTTTCAACATCGTGCGCTTTAACAAGGTATTTGTTATAATGCAGTTTATTATTTCAAAATATTCTTTGAACACCTCAATATTCTAATTTGAAGAAGACAATACCATCCCCACAAATCTTGGGGTGCACCAAACTTAAATAGAAAATGTCATGAAAACAACAAACCTACTACCACAATCTGGGTAAGACCAAGCTGAGAAACACGATATTCGTCCACTCTTTTCAACTTTAATCATATTTTTTAAAATGTTCATCTACCAGATAAAGAATTTAATTCAACCACTAGTGAACTTATACGAAAGCTAGGAATGCTAATGTCTTGCAAAAGACTATCTACTTCTATTCAAGGATAGTATCCGTATTAAAAACCGAGATTGACCTAACTTTAATTAGGCATACATATTTGATCATAGTCATCACATAGACCCTGATCCAATTTCCACATTGAGGAATTACTCTTTATTGAGACCAAAATATGACATTTTATGTGCCTCAAAGAATCCCATCTAGGAACCCGACAAGTAGGTAACATAATCTCAAACAATGTAACCCATGGAGCACAGCCAGGACTTTAGAACACTGCCCTATGGTGTCTAAGGTAATAGAACTCATGTTATATTAGGGTCATGCTTCCTCTTGAACACAACGTTACCCGTATCTTCTAATTTGGCTTTCAACCAAAGTGAAGCCATCTCTTTTTAAGGCCAAACTTTACCACGAGTCTGACCACGTCATATTCTTTACTTGGATTTCAAATTGGAATTAGATGTATTCAAAACAATTTTATATATGTAATATCTCAAAACTCTTGCAAAAGGCTAGAGATTCCCAAAGGCGGGATCATCTTGGCCAAGCTATGTGATATCTTGAAACGTGCACTTGTTTTGAAGGGAGAATGAACTTCGGTAGAAGCATTGGCTGGTTTATGCATGTCATAAACTTTGTTGGGAGGAATAGAGTCATGTTCAGTAAGAGTGGGTGGATTGTTAAAAGCCTTGATAGCTGACAAATCATCTTCATCAACAGAAGTATCTTTGGCACCCTCTTCGCGATCTTCTAAAAATCTCAGGTCCCATTCAGAATGAAAATCCCTAACAATATCAAGAACTCTGATGCTTCCGTCCTGCATGGACTCCACTATGAGCCTCAGCTCATTAGACTTCACTTCATCAGGACTAGCCTCTACGAGAGCCAGCTCATGTCTCGATATTCTTCAACTTGTTAAGAAGCAAGACCTATAATTATGAATTATCGTTCCCATGAGAATTATAATTTAATTTCTAATTTATTATTTGTAACTCCTAATTGATGAAAGATAAATAATATTGTTTGTGATTTCTAATTAAAATAAAATAATCTAATGTGCAAAATCTATCGAATTTGAATTTTAAAAGTATGAATATGGATGTTAGGACTTACAATTTCATCTATGGATTGTCTTTAATTCTTTAATCAAAATTCATAACTATTTAGTGTTCAGTCGAATTCTTTTAAAGTATTCAAATTTACTCTTTGGAGTTCAAATTGATTTTATTTAACTACGTCAATTTCATATCTCTATGTAAATCCAAATATACCTTAGTTAAACGCCTTAAATCTCTAAGAATCCATGTAACTACTGCATTAACTAAAAAATGAATATCTATACTTGTCCAAGTTCCTGAATTTTACTATGTGGTCTAAACTTATAACTCACTTCTCGACTCATTATAGACTCACAGGATCATTCAATTATTGACCAAGTAATTCAAAACATCAAAATTTATAAATAAAACCAAGACATATAAAAATTAAACTACTAGAATCTTGAAAATTAAATTAAAGGGTCTCACATGATTACTTTGTTTGTTCTAACTATGAATTTTGGTACTCATACTAATGAAATAAAAATAACTAAAAAGTGTAGAGTTCATAACCCGGTTTTGAAATCATGGAGATGGAAAGAATTGGATCTTGCACCAGTAATCTTCTTCAATCTCAAAAGTCTTCAAACCTTAGGTTTTTGTCCTTTGATGTTGATTATTATATATTTTTCTTGCTCTTGAGTTGTGTGTCCAATGAAAGGAAGAATAATCTTATATGTAAAATTCTATAATAACTCTAAAAAGGAGTCCTAAATCATTACCAATAT